CGCCGGGCAAAGCCGTGTTGCTCCACACAAACAGACACGGGTGGCGAACTCTAGCCCACCTCACCCCTTGCGGCCGTGGCGGTGCTTCTATTTCGTTTGCGATTGCGGTTGTCTGGTGGCTGGCTTTGTGCAGGGGCTGGTGCAGAAATGGTCACGCAGCGGCAGCACGTGGCCCTTGATGCGCCTCGGCGGGCGTGTCGTCATCGCTTGGGAGGGCGGCGCCTGGCTCACTGGTTGTAGCTGGTGCGATGGAGCTGTGGCGCAGCTCTGCTACGGTGGCCTGGTGGTGCCGCCTGGAGGCCAGGATGCAGCTGTTGGCGAGCTCGGTGCGCAGATCCGGTGTCGGCTCGTCTTCGTGCGCGGTGATGGCCGAGGTTGGGACGCGCATTCCCGGCTGGAGTGCTCCTTGGCAGCTCTCTGGCCATGGCGTGGTGCGCTCTGGCTCGGTTGGGTGAGTGATTAGGAGGAGTTGCTCCTTACCCGACCGGCGGGGCGCATGGATGCCATGGCAGCGGCCCCGGGATGTTGCTGCATACGTCTCGGACATCTTGTGGTGATTCGTTGCAGCGACGGTGAGCAGCGAATCGAGACAGCGGCACGACGACGATGAGCTGTGGGTCGGAATGGTGGCACAGCGGCGCTCATTCTTGGGGTTGGTTTAGGGAGCCATGGAAGGTTGTGGTGCTCAGGTGGTCTGGCGGCCGTGGTGGTGGTTGATGGTGGTGTTGAGTTGACTTGATGTAGTGTCATAGGGCATGGTGAACTGCTAGTGAATGCCAAAGCACCGATCACAGTCGTTGTCGGGAAGGACGGCATCCTAGGACGTTGTTCTCCTTGTTGGAGGCATCGTCATGGAGCCCCTTCACCTACCTGGGCATTTGCATCTCGAGCTCTCCACATGAAAACCTAAGCTTCGGCTTTGGCCGGAGCAGGCGACGACGTTGTTCTTGTCGGTTTCTCCCTTGGGGGCGTCAACTTGGAGATCCGGTTTGGTGTAACGCGTTGGCGGTTGGTGTCGTCCCGCACCTTCGTCATCAGCTAAGCGGGTGCTTGCCTCAAGGCCGACGTTGAAGCCAGAGCGACGGCTCCGGAGGACGTATTTGTGCTGCTTGGCGTCAGGTCTAATGACTTGGGTGGCAGAGTCATCGGCATCATACACGGCGTTGGAGCTAGTGTGGAAGTCCATGCGGCGGTTGCGAAGTACGCCTTTGCATTGCTGGGTGTCGATTCTAGTCACTTGGGTGGCAGAGTCGTCGGCTTAACTGACACACAACCTTAGGACAGGTGTTTTTGCATTGCTGAGGTTTGTAAGCCAGAGCGGCCGCCCCAGGTCATGTGGTAGGGTGTAGACTCTGGTCACTTGGGTGACGGAGTCCTTGCCTCGCTTGGAATGCAACCTCGGGGCTAGTATGGCATAGATTGTATCGGTTTCAGCCAATTTTCCTTATTAACTGGTTGATTCTCTTCTTCTATATGAAAAAGGCAGAGCTCATCCCGGCTGCTCAAAATAAAATATTCCTGGAAAATTATTTCCCAATGAACAAGGTCATTTTTATATAGTTACAACGTAGACTGAGTAGTAGACATGACAATAGTGTAAATATGTCAGTACATCCATTGTTTACAAGGTGGTAAAGCGACCTAAGGTGAGCACCACCCGCTCCGACGCCTAAGCGCCGAAAGCAGGCATATTTCTAAGGCGCTGCCAGGGCGCCTTATCGCTCAAGCGATGCTTAAGAGTCTAAAGCAGGACGCCTTATAAACAATGAATATATCTTAAAATAACATCCGGACAAGCTAGAGGTTTAAACTTTTTTTTTTAGAAAAGTGGTATGGTTTGGTGAACCACAGCTACCAAGGCATAATAAGATACATGAAGCGTGACACTATTACCAACTATCTGCACAAAGTAATGTAGCACTCCTTGTGAGAGCGCACATGAATCATGATTGGATGCTAAATGATGAAATATTTCAAATAGTAAAGTGTTGGATGCTTTGCAGGGCAAAACTATTTGAGTCTAGCATATAATGTTTATATGAATCAAGAAAATGAAATTCAAAGAAGAGCAATGTTGTCACTTATTGTTGTAAAATGACATGTGATGCCACATGTTGTCTAATGGTTGAATATTAGTGAATTAATGAAGATAGCCATTGATAATCATCACAAACTAGTTATACAGCTAACTAAGTCTGATTTTACCTGGGACTCATCCATAAGTATATCATCCATATTAGTTTTCCCAATAGACTGCTCAGTTTCCGTAGATGAAGGTTCTCCATCATTAGCCTTGTTCTCATCATCAGATTTGGCAGATTCTTGCCTTTGATCTTGAACTACAGAAACCTGTAGTGTGGATAGACTCAGTACATACCGACTGACAAGGTATCAGGAAAATAAAGAGTAGAATACCAGAGTTTCAGAGGTAAATATTGTCACCAACAGTGATCCAATTTGTAAGTACAAGCATATGATGGAAAGGCGACAAGACAAGCGAATACAAATATACAATGAGCATGTACTTCTACATGAAGTTAATGTGTCCAAAGCTGAACTCAGTAAAGGTGTCCATCACCCATGATAACTTGAAGATTATCAATAATATTTGAACTAAGCTAAACCAATGATAGTAGGGCGTTTCAATACTGCTGTTAAATTATCAAAGAAACTTGCTGATGATTCACCAAGAAACAACTAAGGTGCTATAGCTCAAAAGTTAGTGTAAACTACAGTTTGACAGCAGCGGATTATACTATATGCTTATGAACAACTAACACTTGTAGGAATAACTAATACTACAAGTTTAGCACCATGGAAAACACCACAGCTCTACAATTACCCAACTCGCAAACAAACAAAACAACCCTCTATATTTGCAGATCGATCCGACCATATGGTCTGATTTTGTTGCATATCCCATAATCCTCTTAACATAAGAGGTCAATTAGTACTTAAAGAGTTCAATTCGACCGAGATAAAAAAAAATCAACCAAAAGAAGCTAAAGATACATCCTGGCACCAAATCAAACTCATCTTACCACCAGAAAGTGACCACACCAAATAAGTACATAAGAATCCTCACCGGCACGTACCGCCGCCTTCTCGTGGCCGTCTTCGCCGGTGCCGTCTGCTCCTCATCTCCTTCGTTGGCGCCGTTCAGCGGGGTCCACTTGAACAGGATGAGGTTATTTCCACGAGATCCAGTCCCGGTGGAGGAGGCCGCGGCGGAGGTGGCCGTGGCCGTGGCGGCGGAGATGGTGACCCATTCCTTCCGCCACTTCCTAACGGGCCCCGTGAACGTCATCGCGGGGCCGTAACGGGCCGACGAGCGCCCTAACCGCGCGCCAACGCCCTCCATGGCAAGGAATTCCTGTGACGGCGGCGGCGGCGGTGTTCTTCTGCCGCGAAGTGGGACCGAGCGCCGCGAATAATTAGGTTCAGGAAAATAATTCGTCGAGATGTAACACGAGGAAGGGGGTGATTTGGCCGATAACTGAGACCGGTTCGCAGCGACCGTGGAATCAGGGCATCTCCAACGCCCAAAGCGGAGACCATAAGCATCGACGGACACGTCCGTGTCGATCAAAAACTGCTAATTCGTATAAAGCCATTGAGCCAGTCCAACCAGAAACTAGAGCTGTGTATATTATATGCACCGCAAGCAATCGACCCGAATCATTCAATACGACAATATGAACACAATACCAAGGCAAACCCATGAAAATGCCCCTTTAGCAAAGAAAAATAGACACGATGTCGCTTTATTTTATCACCGACGGATCTCTACTGGCAGTTGGTAGCCTGGTACTCCAGTTTTATTTTCGTCCGGTTTTATTTCCTCCCACCTCCCACCACCCCTCCCACGGGTTTTTTTATCATTGGTTTATTTTTTTACTTCACTATTTTCTTTAAAAAATCAGCACTTTCCAAACATACAAAAGATTATCGATGTAACTTTTCTAATTTAACCAAATCAACCGATCTCTCGCATTAATGCAATTTGTTTTAGGAAATAAATAATAGATTTTCAGGAAACAAATAAAGATTTTTTTAAAAAATAACAAGTAAACCATGACAAACAAATTTTATTGTGAAAGTGTTACTTTTTCTCTACTCCTAAAGGAAGAGTCTGCGGTCGTGATGGTACGTTCGTACGTCGTCGTTGGTATCGTTCACTTCCTCCCCCGCAGAGTTCCATCGATCGAACGAATGATTTCCTCGTCGGTTTTTTTGCAAACAAATAGTACCCCCGTCTGTTTATTTCCATATAGATTTCAGTTCCATGGTATGGCAACCAATCGCTCCCCATCCCACTCTTTCCTTCCAAAAGCATACAAGAATCGAAACTTGCCTTTCCTTGAACGATACATCCCAGCAGATTTCACAAATCAATCTTCATCCAATCCAGCGCAGCTCCCGCTAATCTTGTTTCCCCATCCCCGCCGCCCCGCCTTCCAATAGGCTGGTTAGCCCTCTTCCATTGCAATCGTCGAGCCATACCACGGAAGCAGTCATGCGACCATCGTGGTGCTGGTGTCCTCCAGCGCGCTCGTCGGGGCAAGGGGTTGACTAAGTTTTGGTGTTGTCTCCAGTGGAGACGAAGGGATGCGGCTGCACGCGCCAAACCTGTAGAAGATGATGTCGGTGTGGACGTAGAGGCGAACGCACCAGGAGGCCTGTGTGGCGCTGGCACGGGCTCAACTCGCGTGGCCGGATTTTGGAAGAGCCCAGCTCAGTGACCGCGAGTGACATACGAGACGCGCTTTGCACGCGATGAGCCCGGCGACCACCATTCATGCGTTCTGGACTGTGATTACCACTAATTATTCGAGTATGTGTTCACCATTTTTTCTACTACCACTAATTATTCGAGTATGTGAACAAAATCTGAACTGTAATTTGCGATGTTTGAGATGTCTATAAGTGTACAACTAGAAAGGCGTCAATTCAATTAATCATCAGATTCAGAATAGTACATGTGCGGTAGCTTCTATCTCAATTGGTTTTTATGTTGTTTGTGTTTGAATTAATTGGCACTCCATACCATCGTGTTTGTTCAGCCTGCAAGGTGATTAGCACTCAGCAAACTATTGGAAAGATGTTGGTACCTTGTTTTTTTCAAACTCGACATGCACATTCAAGAATAGGTATGGCTACATGCTTTCTATATCTACGAGCTTCATAAAGCATTTTGGAGAGGTGCATCTTGTTGGAGAGGACTGGTATGCATATTTAATGAAGAAAACAAAAGTTTTTTATATAATAAAGATTGATGAAAATTTGGACTTTAGACTCTATCAGGGACAATTTTCACGATAAATTATAGAAAGTTTGTATCTTGGGGACATCTTCATGCCGACTTACGTTTAATAATAGGATATGTCCCCTCATGTGACAATTTTGAGATGTTGTTAGAAGTTCATGATCTATTAGTTCCTGCATTTTTTTCACCTGTATGTAGTTTTGAGTATAACTTAAAGTTCTAGATGCATATAAATTTGTGAGTTAACTAAAGCTCACTTGATGTGGTTCTAACTAAATTCTGCAAAAATATGACAATCACAGACAGATAAAATGGAGGTTCAGAGGGGATGCCTGTTGGAAATATGCCCTAGAGGCAATAATAAAATGGTTATTATTATATTTCTGTATTCATGATAATTGTCTATTGTTCATGCTATAATTGTGTTATCCGGAAATCGTAATACATGTGTGAATACATAGACCACAACACGTTCCTAGTGAGCCTCTAGTTGACTAGCTCGTTGATCAAAAGATAGTCATGGTTTCCTGACTATGGACATTGGATGTCATTGATAACGGGATCACATCATTAGGAGAATGATGTGATGGACAAGACCCAATCCTAAGCACAGCTCTAAGATCGTGTAGTTCGTTTGCTATAGCTTTTCCGAATGTCAAGTATCATTTCCTTAGACCATGAGATTGTGCAACTCCCGGATACCGTAGGAGTGCTTTGGATGTGCCAAACGTCACAACGTAACTGGGTGACTATAAAGGTACACTACAGATATCTCCGAAAGTGTCTGTTGGGTTGGCACGAATCGAGACTGAGATTTGTCACTCCGTATGACGGAGAGGTATCTCTGGGCCCACTCGGTAATGCATCATCATAATGAGCTCAATGTGACCAAGTGGTTGATCACGGGATCATGCATTACGGTACGAGTAAAGTGACTTGCCGGTAACGAGATTGAACGAGGTATTGGGATACCACGATCTAGTCTCGGGCAAGTAACGTACCGATTGACAAAGGGAATTGTATACGGGATTGATTGAATCCTCGACATCGTGGTTCATCCGATGAGATCATCGAGGAGCATGTGGGAGCCAACATGGGTATCCAGATCCCGTTGTTGGTTATTGACCGGAGAGTCGTCTCGGTCATGTCTGCGTGTCTCCCGAACCCGTAGGGTCTACACACTTAAGGTTCGGTGACGCTAGGGTTGTTGAGATATTAGCATACGGTAACCCGAAAGTTGTTCGGAGTCCCGGATGAGATCCCGGACGTCACGAGGAGTTTCGGAATGGTCCATAGGTGAAGATTTATATATAGGAAGTCAAGTTTCGGCCATCGGGAAGGTTTCGGGGGTAATCGGTATTGTACCGGAACCACCGGAAGGGTCCCGGGGGTCCACCGGGTGGGGCCACCTATCCCGGAGGGCCCCATGGGCTGAAGTGGGAGGGAAACCAGCCCCTAGTGGGCTGGTGCGCCCCCCCCCCCATGGGCCTTCCCTGCGCCTAGGGTTGGAAACCCTAGGGGCGGGGGCGCCCCACTTGGCTTGGGGGGCACTCCACCCCCCTTGGCCGCGGCCCCCCCTTGGAGATTCAATCTCCTAGGGCCGGCGCCCCCCTAGGGGTCCTATATATAGTGGGGGGGAGGGAGGGCAGCCGCACCCTAGCCAACATTACGCATACGCTTACGCGAGACCGGTTCCCCCGACGTGCTTTGCACACAGGTGGCTTGCGGGCGACTGTCTCTCCAACTTTAGTTGAACCAAGTGTGGCTACGCCCGGTCCTTGCGAAGGTTAAAACGGAGTCTATTTGACAAATTATCGTTGTGGTTTTGATGCGTAGGTGAGATTGGTTCTTGCTTAAGCCCGTAGCAGCCACGTAAAACTTGCAGCAACAAAGTAGAGGACGTCTAACTTGTTTTTGCAGGGCATGTTGTGATGTGATATGGTCAAGGCATGATGCTGAATTTTGTTGTATGAGATGATCATGTTTTGTAACCGAGTTATCGGCAACTGGCAGGAGCCATATGGTTGTCGCTTTATTGTATGCAATGCAATCGCGATGTAATGCTTTACTTTATTACTAAACGGTAGTGATAGTCGTGGAAGCATAAGATTGGCGAGACGACAACGATGCTACGATAGAGATCAAGGTGTCGCGCCGGTGACGATGGTGATCACAACGGTGCTTCGGAGATGGAGATCACAAGCACAAGATGATGATGGCCATATCATATCACTTATATTGATTGCATGAGATGTTTATCCTTTTATGCATCTTATCTTGCTTTGATTGACGGTAGCATTATAAGATGATCTCTCACTAAATTATCAACAAGTGTTCTCCCTGAGTATGCACCATTGCCAAAGTTCGTCGTGCCCAGACACCACGTGATGATCGGGTGTGATAAGCTCTACGTCCATCTACAATGGGTGCAAGCCAGTTTTGCACACGCAGAATACTCAGGTTAAACTTGACGAGCCTAGCATATGCAGATATGGCCTCAGAACACGGAGACCGAAAGGTCGAGCATGAATCATATAGTAGATATGATCAACATAACGATGTTCACCATTGAAAACTACTCCATCTCACATGATGATCGGTTATGGTTTAGTTGATTTGGATCACGTAATCACTTAGAAGATTAAAGGGATGTCTATCTAAGTGGGAGTTCTTAAGTAATTTGATTAATTGAACTTAAACTTATCATGAATTTAGTACCTTATAGTATCTTGCTTGTTTATGTTGAATGTAGATAGATGGCTCGTGTTGTTGTTCCGTTGAATTTTAATGCGTTCCTTGAGAAAGCAAAGTTGAAAGATGATGGTAGCAATTATACGGACTGGGTCCGTAACTTGAGGATTATCCTCATTGCTGCTCAGAAGAATTACGTCCTGGAAGCACCGCTGGGTGCCAGGCCTGCTGCTGGAGCAACACCAGATGTTATGAACGTCTGGCAGAGCAAAGCTGATGACTACTCGATAGTTCAGTGTGCCATGCTTTACGGCTTAGAATCAGGACTCCAACGACATTTTGAACGTCATGAAGCATATGAGATGTTCCAGGAGTTGAAGTTAATATTTCAAGCAAATGCCCGG